CCCCTCCCGTTTATTCGATACTTTAGATAGTAGGCCCCCAAAGTCGCCCATACAGCTTGACTCTCCCTCCGCTTGATGCGTTGATTTCAAAGGACAGCTAATACGCCTGGGACATGCCGAATTGAGAGCATACGTGCCATGTCCATCTGCCCATAGAGGATTTTAGTACGAATTTTACGACACTTGCAACACAATTAGGTCATATAAGTTCGAACGATTCTCAGAGATGTTAGGCTACAGGGGAAAAAAAATATTTTACATTTTTAAAATTCACTTCCATCTTTATTCTTTAACTCACATCAAGGAACATTCACACATAATTATATTTTCAAAGGTGTAAAAACATGAAAACTAAAATTAAAATCAAAATTAACGTATGAAACTGAAGAGCTCACAAGAATGATACCATGCGAGGTATCAAACTCAAAGTTCACAAAGTACATTTGATTTATTTTATATTTTTTAATAGTTAAAAAAAAATTCATCTCCATCTTTATTCTTTTACTGACATCAAGGAACATTCACACATATTTTCAATAGCGTAAAAATATTAAAATTAAAATTAAAATTGAGATTAACATATGAAACTGAAGAGCTCACAAGAAAAATACAATTATACGATCGTTAAAACGCACAGCGCAATCTTAGATTGCCGCGCAATTATACGATCGTTAAAACGCGGAACATAAATTAATACCGACGGTCTCTGGCCACGATTTCTATATATACTAATTCACTAAATATTACATCTCTGTTCACACTAACATGACACATTAGTGTCCCAGGCAACAATTTCTTCGTTCAGGCATAGATCTACAAATTGGTACCCATCTCAACAAAGGGACCACGCAGGTTGTTGGAAGGCGTCACTGGTAGGTCCTTTCTTTCCTTTCCTCTTGTTGTTGTCTGTCTGTCTGTCTGTCTGTCTGTCTGTCTGTCTGTCTGTCTGTCTGTCTGTCTGTCTGTCTGTCTGTCTGTCTGTCTGTCTGTGTTTTTTGTTGGACTAATAAATGATCGTTATTGTGTCAGTGTGCTTCTCTTTAAACTCCTCGACCATAATTATTATGCCGCCGTGGTCACATTGGTTTTTTTTCACAAACGGAACACAACACCCCCCCACTATTGCTTGTAAAACAGACTGTACTCATTATAATTGTTGTGTGTTGTAATCTTTGGTTTTGTTGGCTCAGATATGGCATCAGGCCATTATAAACTATGACTTAATTTACTCACACAACTTGAGAATGCTAGAACTGGTGTGCGAAACATGAGTACTAAATAACTTACTAGTCCTATATTATAAGACGGATAAGGCATGCCACAATAAGGCGATGTGCTCAGGGCCGCGTTACTCGTAAGGTTGTTTAAGCTGTAGCCTAGGGCCCCGCGCTTGCAAACACGACGTTTAAAAAGTGTTTTTCAACCCAAAAAAAGTGTCCTCTTGTTGAATTGTTGTTGTTTGTATTGCTGCTGTTTTTACAGTTGTTGTTGCTGTTGATGATGTTGAAGAGAAGGATGTTGATGCTACCGCTGTTGCTGTTGTTGTGGCTGCTGCTGATAGGTTTCGGCTGCTTCATACTTTGTAACAGAAATAGATCTATAAATGTGCTTGTCGTCGTCTTAATCCACATTATTGGTGGATACCGGTAGGCCTACATCTAATCACGTTTTACAGTATAGCTTTCCATTGAGGGGCCCCGGCCCCGCGGCTCATGGACAGCCTAGGGCCCCGCGCTTAGTTAACGCGGCCCTGGATGTGCTTTATAATGTAGCTGCGCCCCTACGTCATAAACATTGTCTCTTACTTTCAAGGGTGTTGTAGGAACATCCATAGGCATTAATTGTGTTTTCAGTACGTTTCTTCTGTTATAAGTAGTTTTTAAAAAAAAAACACTCTTGTAATTCTTATCTTTTCAGATTGTGAACCCGGTGAGCAAATTCAACACATCACCTGAGCGAGCAAACTACGCTAAGCCATACAAGGAGAAGCGAAAACTCCATTTTATGTCTTGTAGATGTTCCCGTTTTTAGGTTCCAATGTCAAGTTCTCGGGTGGAGTGAGTTTACACGTTGCAACTTATTATTAAGGCTTCCTATATTATATTATATGTTGTTTCGTCCCAACCGAAGGTCGTCAAGTGAGTCACATCCATTCTTAGGTCCTTTTGGTCATACCCCTATCACCCGAATCAGTTGATCACACGCAACTGGGTTTCGTACAGTTCTCATAGGCCTATACTTTAATTACCCTTCAAAGCTGTGTGCATGACTCCCATTACGTGTACATGTAAGCCTACTAATTATATTATACTATTTGTTAGTGGTTACTTTGATCCATGCGGGCGGTCATGGAGGGCGCCACTGGCAGGTCCGTCATACATACTTCTTTATTTTCCCTCTGTTGTTTCTGTCTGTCTTATAACCCCCCCCCCCCCTTTCAAAGCACTATATATATGAACATTATTGTGTCGAGTGCTTAACTCTTTACTCAAACAAACAAAACTTGATCCATAATATAGCCTATATATATATATATATATATATATATATATATATATATATATATATATATATATATATATATATATATATATATATAATATATACACACACACACACACACACACACACACACACACACACACACACACACACACATACGCACACATATGTATATATCATTATAGTCTCCCATTTTCAACCCAAGCGCTGTACTCAGCGGTCTGAGTTAGATCGAGGACCATGGAATATAATGATATCGATTAGCTTAAAGAACTCAAATAAATAATTAGTTTCCAAAAATTTAGGATCTCTTGATCAGTTTCCGTGCGTGCTTGTGTATTTAGTTCATGCTGAAATACAGTGTCATTTATATTCCGGGAACTTTTAAAACGGAAGCTTTCTGCTTTCAAAACTGAATACTTTTTTTAAAATTACAATGTTATGTATCTCTAGGGTTATTTGTCTGAGATAAAGAAAAAGTATATCAATAAAATGATAGTCATTCTATGTGTTAGGAACAATCTTGAAGACGGTAAAGATTTAAGACTTGATTGGGGAAGAGTAGGGCATAAAAATTACACCAAAGGTGTCATAAACCATTAGTCAAACTTCTGCTTTTGTTTTCATAAGCCCATTAATAATAATTATGTCTGATGATATCGAATAGACCTAAGATTACATAATTATTGTTTGAAGATGTCGTGAATTTGATGAAGTGGAGCTTCAGTCTGGGTGAAATATTGTTACGTTAGTTAGTAAAATTATAAATAAAATAGGGAAATCCCATTGCACCTCATGAGGTAAGCAATCAAAATATTTTTAGTGACTGATCGATCTTGTCGATTCTCCCACAATGCACCGTCGGTGTCTTTGTTGTTGTCGTAGGTGACAAGAGGAAGTGGCCCCGAAGTGGACTGAGGGAAATTACAAGTCATTCTTCGCCATTTACGTTGGAAGTGGTGTAATAGAGTTTTATAGAAACAAAGGGAGGCCCGTGCTCCGTAGGAAGAGATCAAGTCGGGAAATGACTCAATTTAGAAAATAATTTGAGTGGAAGTTTGATGCCCCCCGGATCTGACACATTGAGTTGATTGTGAGATTCTAGCAGACGGTGACCGGTGTCAAGGGAATATTTTTCCCTTTTTGGTACGTAGATTAGATCTATTAGCCTGCTAGGACTTTTTATTGTTTTGAGGCAAAGTGTTATCGTAGAAAGTAGACATAAGGCATTTTGAATAACACAAAAGTGATAATGTTTTATTTTGAAAATAACAACCGGTTATAATATAACATGAATTTTCACATTCATTAATTATTATTTTACTTCAGACATTGTAGTAAAAAAGTTCACCGGAAATAATCTCACTCACGGATGACCGCCATCTTGACTGAACGATCAGGCTTTGTGAAGAGAGACGAAGATATTTTCTTCGGCTTAACATTGAGTGCAGGTTGTTATATACTATTGGACTTTAGGGGCAAGGAGAAGAGAAAGTAGATTATTTGATCTAAGCTAGGTTATCATACCCCTTTTTATTTATGGAAATGTTTTTATGGTAGATCTTTGTAAGGAAGTCTTAGTCTAGCATTCCGATTCGCTCGTTCTTGGTCGATGTCATCCTGACCACGGCAACATGAGAATGAATGATTAGATTCTGCAGTCTGTGGAACCTACTCGAAGCTTGGTTGACTCTTTAGACTTAGAATTTTAGTCAGTGAACTTCTTGGGAAGGATTCTCAGGCCTATCTTGATGTTTAGTACATCTTCAAACAAGCTTTGCAGCAACATGAATTTTCTAGCAGAAAGTGTCTATTCTCACCCGCCGGAAGTTCTCGCAAGATCAACTCCTCCCCTCTTCTCTCTCTCTCTGTCTCTTTCTGAATACTGTTTATCGGTGTGGACGATCAAATTGACCAAAACAGTTAAAAAATGATGTTAAAACACAAAAGTAAATTAATTTGGTTGTCTACAAAGATGCTACGGCTATTTAACTTTTCGAATCGAGCCGAACTACGCGGGTCGCCATTCATTTTGTTTTGCCCCGAAATTCTCGCGCTACTCCTCTCTCTCTTTCTCTCTCTCTCTCCACTGCCCACAGACAAAATTGTACGCTTTTAGTAGGCTACAGTTGTAATGGAACGTTTGTTCACGGCACAGAATTCTACAATTTTTCTGTTATCACAGTGTAGAATTCTGTGGTTTAGGGTGAACGCAAAATTTGGTAAACGCGCACCGGGTGAGAATAGCCACAAGACTCGCCTGCACTATTCTCACTCCGGGTGAGAATAGAGGTGGCCTTTCTAGCAGGTCTTCAAGTCTGGATTTCAAAGTGAAACTGAAAATGATGGGACAAGAATGACAATTTTGTTTGACTTGAATATCTCTGAATTTTGGACTGGCTAGTCTTAATGTTTTAATATTTTGTTTTAGTAGATTTATGTCCTGAATGGATTGCCATGCTTTGTTCATTATGAAAGGCCACCTCTATTCTCACCCTGGGTGAGAATAGTGCAGGCGAGTCTTTTGGCTATTCTCACCCGGTGCGCGTTCACCGTTATAGCCTAGATCTAGGCCAACAAATTTTGCGTTCATCCTAAACCACAGAATTCTACACTGTGATAACAGAAAAATTGTAGAATTCTGTGCCGTGAACAAACGTTCCATTACAACTGTAGTCTGTAGCCTACTAAAAGCGTACAATTTTGTCTGTGGGCAGTGGAGAGAGAGAGGAGAGAGGAGTAGCGCGAGAACTACCGGTCAAAACAAAATGGCGACCCACGTAGTTCGGCTCGATTCGAAAAGTAAAATAGCCGTAGCATCTTTGTAGACAACCAAATTGATTTACTTTTGTGTTTTAACATCATTTTTTAACTTTGTTTTGGTCAATTTGATCGTCCACACCGATAGACAGTATTCAGAAAGAGACAGAGAGAGAGAGAGAGGGGAGGAGTAGATCTTGCGAGAACTTCCGGGCAAAACAAAATGGCGACCCGCGTAGTTCGGCTCGATTCGAACAGTGAAATAGCCATAGCATCTTTGAAGACGATCAAATTAGCTTACTTTTGTGCTATAACGTAATTTTTTCTTGGCTTTTATCAATTTGATCATCCACATCGATAGAAAGTATTCCGAAATGAGGAAAAACAGGTCTTGTTTCAAACCGGGTGAGAATAGCCTACGGTCGCAAGTCTCACCCGGGGTGAGAGGTAGATCGTTTTTCTATTCTCACCCCGGATGAGAATAGCCACTTCCATTATGAAAAGCCACCTACCTCTATTCTCACCCCTTCAACTTGTAGTGAAAATAGCACAGGCCAGCCTTTTGGCTATTCTCACCCGGTGTGCGTTCACCGTGATTGGCCAACCAGTGTAGCGTTCACCGTGAACATTAAACAAAACGTTTCCAGCGCTCTTGTGTTAAAATCGTGCAATTTTCTCCTCGGGCAATGAGAGAGAGAGAGAGAGAGGGGGGGGGGAAGAGAAAGAGACAAGAGAGAGAGGAGTGGCGAGAACTTTCGGGCAAAACAAAATGGTGACCCGCGTAGTTCGGCTCGATTCGAAAAGTGAAATAGCCATAGCATCTTTGTAGACGACCAAATTAGTTTTACTTGTGCAATAACAGAATTTTTTTCTTTGGTTTTTTTGGGTCAATTTGATCATCCTCACCGGTAGACTGTATTCAGAAATAAGGAAAAACAGGTCTTGTTTCACACCGGGTGAGAATCGCCAACGCTGGCAAGTTTGTCGATCATATTTTTATTCTCACCCGGGGTGGGAATAGCCACTTATAATGAAATCATTTACAAGTTGGAAGACCTGCAGATCGATGGCATGGAAAGATCAGGATAAACTTTACACATTTTTTTAAAGAGTAATTGGGTGAAGAAAATTAAGAAATGAATGGCGAACTGCTATGATCGCCAATGTCTGTTTCAGATCTGGTTCTTTATGATGATGTAGGTAAGAGTACGGGATGAAGATTTCTAATAGTGGAGAACAGTGATCTTTTTTTGAAGGTTTACCAGTGTCAATTTTTTAAGAGTCACAAGCTCATAATAATCATAATGCAAGAATTTGTTAGGGTCCAGGGCGGTTGGTAAAAATAGACAAGTGTCATGACTTCAGTTGCTATCGCTAAAAACAAACATCTTGTCATGACTTCAGTCTAAGCTACCATTGGTAAAAATAGACATATGAGCAATTGCCAAAACGTGAGACTCTCTTGAGACTCAGTGGTGCAAAAAATTTTTTCTTACCAATTTGACTCTCTTTTCTGTCAGTCACAGATTGACATTTAGTGCTCATATTCCTAGAGTATCAGAGCAAGGAGATGTAGGGTTTTGGAGATATGAGTCTATTGGTTTGGCAACTACTGTATTTCTTGTATGTAACAGTGATGACAAAAACAGATAAGCAGCAAGGCAAATTATAGACTTTAAATTCCATTTGTTTAGTAAACAAACACTTTGTACACTATGAACTCCATTCATAATGGCAATATGAATGGCAAGCTTTGTAACAATGACGCAGTGCACAGAACATGTCATCATTGTTATGTACAAGAAAGGATACACATTGGACATTATCATTGACAACACATCACAATAGTGAAAGGCTGTACAAATACAGTTATCAAAGCCTCGGTACCAGAAAAACACATGTGTAAAACAATTTTTTAACTAATTTGAGGCAAAAGCACAAAATCAATGGAGCTGACTTGTACATAACAGTGATGACAAACATGACTTGTACGTAACAATGGTGACACAATGTACAGGAAAAGACAAAAGTCTTGCCTCCAGAGATAAAAGCGCACTTTAAGAATTAAAAAAAACCCAGGAGAGGTTTCTTTTGCTTTGAAACAGATACCAGGTCATATCAAAGACAGTGGACGATCACAATTATGTTGCTAATTATGACAAACAGTACTCGTACATAACAGTGATGACAAAACATACTGGGAAAAGGTAAAATCATGCCTACAAAGAACAAATTTTCACCAAGAGATACACAGATCAATAAAGGCGTATTTTGCTTCTAAATGAATCTTGCATGTATGAAATATATGTTGAAAACTTATTGATATTAGCAATTATGAAAAATATTACTTGTACATAACAATGATGACACAATGACACAATGTATTGGAAAAAGGTATATCATACCAACAAAGAACAAATGTGTATTTTTGAGTTAGACAGATAAACAAGGACATGTTTGTTTATTTGTTTGAGTAAAGAGAGCACACATTACTTAAAAAATGTTTGCTCTTAGGACAATGTAATTTCTTGTACGTTAGTCAGTCTTGTATGGCTGCATGACGACACCCCAAACGTCATCACTGAGCACAAAAGCTAAATCTATAACCACAGAAATGATCCATCTCTCGAAGTTTGTTCACACATCACACTCTTGTTCCAGGAATCCAGTGTAAACACCGCAATTTCACTAAAAAAATATTCAACAGAGTAGCCTAAAAACACGCAGAACAGCCCAGTACGTCACATTCAACTGAAAAATTCTTGTGCGTCACCGGACGCTGAAGGCGATGACTACTTTCGTTTTTCTGTTTCCCCCGTTGCTTCCGTTGTTCTGGGGACGCGGGAAAGGGGAAGTCACTCAAGAAAACAATTATATCCGGGCACTTTTGATGACCCGTTCAAAACAAAAGTGGGCGAAATTCGGACTTCCGGCACGTCGCAAGTTGACGACAATAACAGCGAATGTTAAACAGCCAACCGAAATCGTAGATCTAGGAACCCGATGTTCCTTTCGCGCATCGCGGCTTTTGAAGTATTGAATAAACGACGATAGGCAAAGAGATTTAACCAGCTACGGTGATTCTACTGAAAAATAATGGTGTTTTCTGAAACACCTAGTCCGTGACGACATGACAGACGCACAAGTAATCCGAATTGTTCGTCTATTTACAAACAAATGAACCGATTTCTTGAGCAAGTTAACCTTTTTCAATGACAAATAACATAGGATCAAAGCACACATAAAAAAACCCCACCCAAAAATACTAAATTTTGGACATACTTGGAAGTTTGCATTGGTGTGCTCAAAATGACACTCCAGGAATCACTAAAAAACGAACATTTTTGGCACAAAATTTACAAACTCAAGATTGTAAAACTGACAAGGGGTCTGAAACTGCTAATGCAGGTTCTACATCCTATATTTGACGTGTGTATAAGTTTTGGAGGAATAAATACTAATGCATCACATTTTATGCACACTAATTATGTGAGATGTGTGTGTTTTTCACCACGTTTTGGCAATGGCTCATATATATATGATCATGTCATCTTAGTCGACCAGATCGAACACTTACATTTATCAAAGGCCCTAGAGCCTCACAATTTCTTTAGCAAGAGTTTGAGAAGTCTCTGCAATTCAAAGAGACTTGAAACGGTGACAGCAAGGGAGTCGATGTGTAATCGTGGCGTCGGTGGCCTAGTGGTTAGGCTCTCCGACTCGCAATCGTAAGGTCGTGGGTTCGAATCCCGTCAGGGGCCTGACGTTGTGTCCTTGGGAAAGGCACTTTGCACAAATTTTCCTCACTTCACCCAGGTGGAAATGGGTACCCAGCTATAGACAGTGAAAGATCTTGTCAGTTTGATAGTGTTTGAGCGCGTCAAATCCGCAGCTTGCACTGTATGCTTCCGCGGAAGCTGAGAATGTTTCTGAGTGTTCTCAGAGGGTCTGCTGGGGTAATAATAGTTGTAAAGCGCATAGGGCAAGCTCTTGAGCATGGATATGCGCTATATAAATGCAATTATTATTATTATTTAATCTATTTTACATTGTTATGGATAATAAGGTTAGGCTATAAAAAATGTTTGTCATGAACAATGGTGTCGACCTAATGCAGAGCAGTAACCACCTTGAGAAGCGGGCCTTGGTTGCCGTAAAGTGGAGGCTGTGGATAGCTGGATTTTCAGAGGGGGGGGGGGGGGGGGGGAACCTGTAAACTTTAAAGATGACCCTACACCCACGCACATGCAAGCATAAAAGTCCAAATCATAGGATGTGGCATAAAACATAAAAGTCCAACCAAATTATAGATGTCAGAAAGGCAGAAGAGTTGTAATGTCAGAAAGGCAGAAGAGAATGTACAGTGTCCAAGACACCCCCCCCCCCCCCCCCCCCCACATTCAGGAGACTTTAGAAGGAAGATGGCTCTTGGGGAGATTGTGTGAAGTGAGCTCTTTTATACTCAACAGTAACTCTGCCTTTTTGGCCCATGTAATTGTTGTAAGGAGAGATACAAGAGAGGAGGGATGCACACTGAAATTATAGGCTAGTGGCTGGTGTTCACTGTTCACACTGTTTAAGAATCTTTCAAATAAATTTTTGTCTGGCGATTTCGGGCAACGAATGTTGCTGTTAGAGGAAAAGGTTGCCGTTAAAAAGGGTTTATTTATATATTTATATATATGTGTTACGACGCGGTGGAATCAATCGCTCGTCAATTTTTGGGCAATTGGAGTTAATCGTATCATCTGATAGCTGATTTATTTGCCTTGCATCTAATGAAATAAATCCATTTATCTTGAATAGAACTCAAGATATTTGTGATTGAAGGAAATGAGGTTGCCTGGTTTCAGTGGTGAAATGAGCGAGAAAATGGCCGCCAAAGTTTGGTAACTCCAATTGCTAAAGAGTCTTTGAAAACTGAAAAATGACATATTTTATACCTTTAATCAATGTTTTTCAGTAAATTTCACATAGAAATATATTTTTATATCGGTATTAAAGATCCCCCCACAAAAATTTGATAAAAATTTCCAAACTGGCAAAAAAATGCCAGGTTCTCCATTTTAGTTATTTTGACGAGCGTGCTCTGGTTTCACCACGCTGACTCACATAAGGCTAATTTCGTTACACAAGTTGCTGTTAGGTGGAGGCTACTTTTATCTGGGTTGCCGTGAAGCGGATGCTGTATTTCACTTTAACATTATCTGCTTTGTTTGAATAAAATATGACTTGAGAAAGGGGTTTACAGCCCAAATGGCTTGCACTATATTAATGCAACTGAACTTGGTTCTCATGTTATATTATTATTTGAATTCGTAAATTATCCTTGACTCTGTTTATGTTATAAATGTAGGGTATCATGCCTTCTTTTCAACAGATGTCCTGTAGTAACGGGTCACCTCCTGTGAAACGAGCCCGCATTGAAACCAACTCTGTTAATAGTTCGCAGGATTCTGAAGAAACCGTTGATAGAAATGTAAGTTGCATTAATAATTGGTAAGCATTATGAACGAATGTTGTTAACCTTATCTTATTCTCCTCATGATGACTACTACTACTAGTATTACTACTGTTAGTTTTTGCCTGTAGGCACTCTGGTGTATGCTTTTTACAGTGTTAATATTGTTTGTCTCATAAATGTGATTGTTCTTTCTTAATTAAGCAGAGGTATTGGTGATTTTGGCATTATTTGGTTTCCTTTTGACTAGTCGTATTTTCGTAAAGAGGTTGCTATTGCTTGTATATGCCCAGTTAACGCTTAGTACCGGTATGTGGAGAAAGTGAAACAATGTTGTTTTCAGGTGGACTTGCTTTTGACATTGCACTGTATTGAATATTAATGATATTGTAAAGTGTGTTTGCTCATTTTATGGATTTTTATTTTGGTTGGTTTTATTGTATAACTGTACTGATTTGGACTGTGTCAATTTCAGATGAGTGCTGCAAAAAATGGGACCACAGATGATATCGATGAAAGTCTCTATTCTCGGCAGCTGTGAGTTGTTTATTTCTCTTCCTTTAGGAAACTGACAACATCTAGAAGCTTTCTCTTTCAGTAGTATAGATCATTAGGAGTTATCCTCATCCCTTCAGCATGTGTGTCAAATGTGTCTCATGAACAAGGTAATCCTGAAAATCTCATGGTAGTGCTTGCTTTGTGATATCCCTCATCAAACTGAGCAATGCCTGTTTACCTTCACTCTTCTTTATGTAGATGGAAACTATCACTGTAAAAGGGAGCAATATGAAAGATTTTCCTGTCTTTTTATAGCAAAAGTGAAAGTGTTACTGGATTGATAGTTTAAGATAACTGATTAACTGAAACCTTTGGCTCTTGTTTATGTATTGGTTGTTTCCAATGAGGTACAGAAGAAATAGATCAGTGGTTTTACGTTTTGTGCTGTTGAATGTTGTGTTTTTAAAGTCCCTTTTTTCAAATAGTTTGCATGGCTGAGTATACCTGTAGGTTGAAATTTTAAATGTAGTTTAAAGAAAAGCTTGAATAATGAGTGATATTTTTTACCTCCTGTGTTTCCGTTTTGTCCTTCAGGTATGTGCTTGGTCATGAGGCCATGCGCAAAATGGCCCACTCCAATGTCCTCATCTCTGGCATGAATGGACTTGGTGTGGAGGTTGCCAAGAATGTGGTGCTGGGTGGAGTGAAATCAGTGACTATTCATGACACTCAGGAGGCTACCTGGTTTGATCTCACATCGCAGGTAAAGTTGCTTTTCAAAGGTTTCTTCAGGGCTGCCTACCATTACGGTAGAATTTGGCGGATTTATTAAGATTTGTATTCAATTTTACGAAAATACGATTGTAATACCCCTGATTCCGATTTTTTGGGGAAATTCTGGCTACCCCAACCCACTGCCAACCTTCCTGGTGTAGAGGGGGAAAAAATGGAGAAACTACCAAACCTGGACAGTCCACGTCTCGTGCAGCTGTCGAACTTTAACAATACTAACACCCTCTTTGCATTGAGCCCCTGTAGTGGCTCAGTGCCGCCTTGCCCTAAGAAAAACAGACTTTACAAGTGCCAAAGCCAGGAGTAAGGCAAACATTAAATTGACAAGGTGTTAGAGATGCTACTGAATCGCTAACAACAACAACAACGTGTTAGAAAATTCCTGTCCTTTTGTATCATCACGCCTTTGTCTGTGCTACATTTATACTATACTGTATATTATTCCCACAATCTTTTATATTGACCGTCGTTGTGGACACTGTTGGGCAGTGTTTCCAAGACTTGTGACCTTGTAGTAAGAGATTTTGCTGAAAGGTGCTCTCATGAATTTGTTTTAATCGACAGAAAAGTATTTACATTGTCACTGTTACTGTTGTCACGCACTGCTCTCAGTTTATTACATGAGTCAAACACTCTGGCCTCAGTTCTTTACATGATGTGATAATATTACCAGCATAGGGCCTCAACAATACCGATGGTGTCTGAAATCTGTAAACTTTTGCAGGAGTACTTTGATGCTGTTGTGTTTTTATCTGTCTTTAGCCATTTATTTTTGCTGAAGCGGACAGCTGCGGATATGAGAAATTGTGCCGTTTCTGTTGCAGTTTTTCCTTCGTGAAGAAGATGTTGGCAAGAACCGCGCAGAAGTGACCACGCCTCGAATTGCGGAGCTTAACACCTATGTGCCTGTGGCCTGCAACACAGATCCTCTCAAGGAAGATTTCCTCAAGCAATTTCAGGTATTGTTTTTCATTCATTCATACATAATATAAATATTGAAGCTGAGTCTGCAATAAGTTTTACATTTGTATCATGACTTGTTGTTCAAAAAGGTGTCAACATGTTGACTATTCTGGTGTTAAAACTGTTGTTTGTCTGAAGAAGAAAAAAACCCCACTTGATTTTATTGTATTTTACAAGGTGTGAAGTTATTGTGTCTGAAGGGTGTGTTAATGAGTTTCAAAACTTTTTTTTTAACCATCTTTTGTCAGGTTGTGGTTCTCACAAACAGCTCCCAGGAGGAACAGATTCGGATCGGAGAGCTTTGCCATGGAAAAGGAATCAAGTTTATAGCGGCTGCTACATATGGTCTCTTTGGGTATGTAGGTTCAGTGTTATTTTAACTTTATTTTTATGCTTGTGAATAGATAATTGTTGCCTGAATCAACTTAACTTTATTTTTATGCTTGTGAGTAGATAATTGGTGCCTGAATCAACTTTATTACTGCATGTTCTTTTTCAGTGTTAGGCTTGAAAAATTGTCGACATGAGGAATTCTGTGGAATTTTTGCCGCTCTCTTTAATTGTTCGGGTGGCAGTATTGCTCTAGGTTACTTATAAAGATCCCTCAGTCATTACGGCTTTCGAAGGGCAGATGCTCAAAGTCAACTGGATTAACATTACTTCTTTCCACATGACAGTGAGGTGATTCTTTAGTTTTTCGATCGAAAATAGTACAGCCTTGCTCTAAACTGACTTAATTCAGATGTTAGGCAAGTGGAGTACTTTCAGTTACAGACTTTGTCGCCTCAGAACTATTTTGTCCAAAGTGTACTTAAATAAAGAGCCACTTAAGACTGAATATATTTCTGAGCCGATTACTTTTTTTGCACCATCAAGGGCTGGTTATAGAATTTTTATTTTTTTGTCCATTGACAAGGACAGTTTTGTTGTTTATGAAGTAAGTAAAACCCCCTCCATGTAGTGCCTGCCTGCCTGGCTTAAACTGAATTCAAGTACCGGTATGATTCGGTGGGTAGTGTGATCTCTTATTTTTGTTGTTGTTATTTTTGTATCTGAGTTTTAAAAAACCCAAAACATTAATTTTGTTCAGGTGACCACAATTTGTCACAGTATTTCTCAAATGTAGAATTAATGCCAAAGGTAAATTGATAGAGAAGTGGTAGGATAGGTGAAAGTTTTGTTTTATAAAGGTCATGATGATATAGGCAATGATTTTCTTGTACCCTGATGATGGATAATCCTCTTTTAAAGCCAGGTTATGTACTCCGAAGTGTTTTACAGAGTTTCACTGATCATGAATATTTAAAAATTGTGTGTGTGTGTGCACCAGATGTTCTGGTCAGATTTTACACTGTACTCAATGTTCCTTGCTTTATTTATTTATCGTCCACAGCCAGGTGTTTTGTGACTTCGGTGAGGGGTTCGTGGTCTCTGATCTGGATGGCGAACAATGCCTGTCTTGTATGATTGCAGACATTGAACAGGTAAATGATCTGGTTTCCAAGGGTTTTTTTATTTTGCTGGTAGATTTTGTCCTTTTTGGGGGACGTATTGAAAAAAAAAAAATAACATCTGTACTCAATCATCACAAGAGATAAAAGTAGAGCCACGAAAGCAAATCTTGGAGATAAAGGTCTCTTCTGATCTCACAAGTGTGCAGAATCATTCTCCTGATGTTTTGCATGAAAAACCTTTGTTGGGTTTTGTCTTCTGGATATTTATATTATAAAACAGCAGCTTTTTGACTTTTAACTTTTTGCTCGATGTCAGTGCTGCTTTTTGTAGAAAAATTTGTTTTCACAGAGGAAGATAAGACTGTAGATTTTATAGGATCATCTAATTGCTGTGGGTTTTGTGCAAATTAAAGAACTGGTGTAGATTTCAGTTTCGTAATTACCTGAAAAGAAGGCTCATTGTGAAGAGAATATTCAGGTAATTTAATATAATTCGTTTTCTGGTCATAACGGATTTGTTTATTGCAGAGCCCAGAAGGTGTTGTGGCGTGTCTGGATGAGACGCGTCATGGTTTCAACGATGGAGATTACGTTACCTTCAGCGAGGTTCGTGGAATGACAGAGCTCAATGGATGTAACCCAATCAAGATTAAAGTTTTGGGTGAGCTTTTTATTGTGAAATGCTGCTTTTTGCGCTCCCAAAATGCAGCAGTGTGAAGATGGTATAGTGTGGTAAAAGTCAAAATAATTCTTAGTACCTTTTAAAAAAATGTTTTCTTTTCTTGGATCTCTGATTGCTTGGCTTTTGGAGAATGGTTTTAACTAAACATGATTTATGTCTCGGCCCATTAATATTTATATGCCGTTAATTCTTTCAATGGTAGTTATGACTAATCCTGTGACAATGATGTTGATGATGAAGAGGATGGTTATGTTTGAAAGAAGAAAATAGTAAATGTACTCCTGTGATCACTGTAGGGAATTATTGAGAAAGAATTAAACAGGAGAGGTTTGATTATCTGGCATTGTGTCTATAAAATGAGTATGTTCTGTCAGTAAGTATTAATTATTTGGCACTGCAAAGTTTGTAATAACATTTTTTGGTATTGAAGAGAAGCTGTATTTGGATGATGGTACCTAACAAAAATTTGCCATGCAGAAAAGTATATGTTCTCACACGGAGTATATGATCTATTATTTTGCTCAATGCCTTTTGTTATCTACCATGACAGGCCCATACACATTCAGCATTGGAGACACTTCAAAGTTTTCAGCCTACGAGAGAGGGGGTACTGTCACACAAGTGAAGATGCCACAAACATTCAACTTTGTAGGTTTTTCTGTTTCTTTTTGTTGTTTCTAATGTATTGAGCTTTGTTTGCATGCTGAACTGAAAATAGATTGATTTAATTTGTGGGAAAAGAATGTCTTGCTTTTTGGGGTTTCAAATACTTTGTGATGGTGATTTGCATGTTTAAGAGACACCTCTACGAAAAAATTGTGCTAAAATTGTTCTCAGATTCTTTTTAATAATAAAGAAAAGAGGGGGATTGATAAACTTTTCTGTTCTTGATTTAAGGATTCTTTCTCTGTGACTGGCTCTTTTAAGATATGAACTTGTTCAATATAGCTACGTTCGGTATGTTGAGCGTAAGTGTCTCAACACCTTAAAGGTTTGTGCTTGCTGTTAGTAATTGTTTTGTCTTTTCCGCCCACAGAAATCCATCAGCAAGTCTCTAGATGAACCAGAGTTTTTGATCACAGACTTTGCCAAGTTTGACCGACCCGCGATCCTGCACATTGCTTTCCAGGCCTTACACAGCTTTGTGAAGAAGACAGGACGTCTGCCAAAACCTCGCTCAAAAGTATGTAGCCTTTGTGCAAAACTAGAAGAATGTAATTATTACAGTTGATCCAGCTCAAACGGCCGCCTGTTTAAGACAATCACCTGTACATATGGCCACTTTGCATTTTCCCTCCTTTGCCTTTTTTTCTCTTCTTTTTTTTTTTAACATTATAAGGACACTGTGTGAGACGTCCATCTGTCTAAGACGGACACTTTTTTCCTCGACAATGGGTGGCAGTGTTAGACAATTTTGACTGCTTTTTGGTTTTGTCAGTTGCACTCTTACCTCGTTCTGGAGGCCACATTAACCTGTCTCTACTTCAGCATATTCAATTTCCCCCCCACCACTGATGTTAGGAGCTGTTGTTTGTTCAATTTACCTCACTTGTTTTTTCACAAAAAGTCCTTTTAGATTGTAGTGACCCTCACTTTTGTGTGTCTGCATACAGTTTTTTTATCATTTATTTTTTTGCCTGGATTAAGATTGATTTCTGTTTAGTTTTTACTCAGGCCTTCCTAGATACCTCCGGGGGCTCTCATGGTCTAGCAGTTATGTTCGTCTCTCTTTCACTAGGTCCTGGGTTCAAATCCGGATAGCGATGGAAAATTTCCTTCTCTAAAACTTTCTCCTTTCACACCTTTTCCTGCTCTTTAACACTGTTCTGTCGTCTCCTTTCGTTGCCCCCCACCCCATCACCTCCTTTGCCCCCTCCTCTGGGCTCGTGACTCTTTCTGCAGCCTTTCTACTGCTCTCCTTGGCTCGTTCTTACTGCTGTCTTTCAGCCACACCCCTTATCTTATTGTAGGAAAAATCTACACCTAGCCTTCTCGGAGAAGTGCGAAAAGTCTTGGAGGTCTCGTGTGCAAGTTGTGCACATTAAAGGTCCCTTGGTGGTCTAAAATTGATATAAGAGTAATCTTCAGCCACCACCCGGGCAAAATTCAAAATTTCCTACCAAGTGAAAATGTTTAATGTTTCACGTGCGCTCATATGATAGTACGCAGTTGCAAGCGCTGTAAAACACTTACCAAAAATAAAAAAGATACTCCTCTGCCAAGAAGTCTGTAACTGGTGCTACTTGCACACTTGTGAGTTTCTACCCTTTTTCCGTACAGACAAGGTGTTTCTGATTTCACCTTGCCTTGAATCAGGGGAGTGAAACTTTGAACTCAAATACCTTTGGCATGAGTAATGCGCACCATACCTCCACACACATCCCATCGTATTTTGAATAGATTTTGACTTGATTTTGTGTGTATAGACAGGGTCGCTGTTTTTCCATATTTAAAAAAAAAATCATTATTTTTTGCAAATGCAGCTTTGTAAATTTAGATTATTTTTGCAAAATCTGAGTGGCATCCCCGTAAAGAGTATTTTCGGTATTAAATCTAAGTGTAAATTTATTTCCTTCCCCAGTCTGATGCAGAGGAATTTGTTAAGACCTTCAAAGAAGTGAATGCTGGAAGTAAAGCCCAGGTGGAAGATTTCAGTGACGATTTGCTGAATGAGTTTGCCTACACAGCTCAAGGAAGCCTCTGTCCTATGCAAGCGTTTGTTGGAGGTGTTGCTGCTCAAGAAGTGATGAAGGTAGGTGCTGAGTGGGATTGAAGTAATTGAAACGAAATACAAATATTTCCCAGTACATTTTACTTATATGTTTGACTGTATAATCTTAAATCAGAGGAACGGGGCTCTCGTGGCCTAGAGGTTAAGGTGTTGGCCTCTCATTCAAAGGTCCCGGGTTCGATTCCGGGTAGCGACCAAAAAAATTTTCTTCTCTAAAATTGTCTCCTTTCACATCCTTTCCTGATCTCTAACAATGTTCTGTTGTCTGCTTTCATTTCCACTTTCTGCCCCCACCCCCTCACCTCCTTTGCCCCCTCCTCTGGGCTCCTGACTCTTTCTGCAGCCTTTCTACTGCTACTCCTTGGCTCCTCCTAACTGCTGTCTTTCTGCCACACCCCTGATCTTCTGGTAGGAAAGATCTACACCTAGCCTTCTCGGACAAGGGCGAAAAATCTTGGAGGGCCCGTGTGCAAGTTGCGCACGTTAAAGATCCCTTGGTGGTCTAAAATCGATAAGAGTAGGCTTTGGCCGCCACCCGGGCAAAATTCAAAATTTCCTACCAACGAAAATGTATTAGGTGAGTCCCGCGCACTCATATGACCTTATGCAGTTGCGAGCGCCGTAAAACCCTATACTAAACAAAACAAAAATCAGAGGAACATGAGAATATAGGCCATTTTTCCCACTCTGATTGGTTGCACAATTCAAATTTATCTATTGCGTGAGGTCCATGTTGATATTTGAGTAAGACACCCCTCAGAAGGCAAAAAGAAATTGTTTAACCTGAGGACATGAGGAGTCTAAAGTCACCACTTTTTGCCGAGGTAGTTAGATAGGTCCATCAATAAAAAGATGATTTATTCATGAGTGATTTTATAAATTCCCTAATGCCACAATAATGGTCTAAGCCAGGCATTAGCTCAAATCAAAATTCTCTGCAGGACAGCAAATCACCGGGTTATGGTACTGTGAAAATGCACTTTAGAAATTGGAAGCAATAATAAGTGAAATGAAAAGGCCGTTAGCATTGCTGCTCAAGTTCTGCTGGTCTGTGTGTAATAATACTATGTACATGTACTCAGGTAGAGTTACGTCTGTGCTATAGGTAATGTGAACCGAATGGATTTGAGATCTGAATTGTAATAGAGAAATATATATTGTTCAGAAAGTGAAACAAATATGATTATTTGTCAGTGAGGTAGGCGTACGTATTGTTCCATTTAAGGCAAGGCAGTCAATGTTCGGTCATAGGGGTTTTTGCATGTTTATAGAATCAAGTCATGGTTTTTGTACCTATTTGACAGTGCTCCAAAATTGAGTAGGGGGCAGCCCTTTTGTAAAGCATGAGTCTTTTTCCTCAATATGAAATTGTGTCATATGATTGTCAGAATAGGAAATGATAAATATCTTGAAAACTTTTTTTCTCCACAGGCATGCTCAGGAAAGTTTACCCCTCTGAACCAGTACCTGTACTTTGATGCTCTCGAGTGTTTGCCCAAAGACAAATCTGTACTTACAGAGGAAGCATGTGCTCCGGTGAGTGTTATGTATGATAATTAGATTTTTCATCTAGACAAAAGAAGATATTGTCTCTCTCAATTTGTCAGTATGGAATAATAAAAGACACTGTAGACTTGAACAAAATGGCATGAATTGTAAATCTATAAATCTCACTCCAGTGTCGAATTTCGGCGGATATTTCCATTCTTGGATGGCAAGAAGTAACTCATTTTGTCAGCACTCCTCACATTTGTTTTCACCTTGCCCAGTTCTCCAAGTGAGGAAGTGTTTCTTGCATCTATGTTTGAAAAGATTTTGCTCAAATTGTTATAGGTTGGTCTCTGATTCAACAATTAATTCATTCGCCCTTCTTATTTGTCATTTCAGAAATCTTGCCGTTATGACGGTCAGCTGGCCATCTTTGGGTCCAGTTTCCAAGACACAATTCAAAATTTGCGTTACTTTTTGGTTGGAGCTGGCGCCATTGGCTGTGAGATGCTCAAGAACTGGGCCATGATGGGGCTGGGCACTGGGGAACGAGGCCAGATCTTCGTCACTGACATGGACCGCATTGAGAAGTCAAACCTGAACCGTCAGTTTCTCTTCCGCCCCTGGGATGTGGAGGTTGGTAATTTTGTGATTTGGACATAAAATTTTTTTGGGTATGTTGTAGTGAGTCAACACACAGATTGTGACAGTGATGGCTATAAGGGTGTCTTTGTTTGATGAAGTAAGTGATGACATGGTCAAAAAAACCCCAAAACAACAACAACAAAACTGTCTTTGTACCTAATGTATCTGGCAAAACCCTCATGTTGCTGAAGATTGTGAAGTCTGTTTTTCTTGTCTTTTTTCGTTTGTGTGCGTAAGTACTAATTTAAGTCCACCCTACTTCCTATTGAGAAGGGCAATTAAAAAAAAATCTTACCACAGACTATGACCGTATGCAGTTGCGGGCGCAGTAAAACCTTACTAAAACAAACATTGCCACAGACTCACACTGGGCTAGTGTTTTGATCGTGATCTTTTTTATTTATGAATTAAACATCTTTCTTTGGTCTTTCTCTCCTATAGAAAGCCAAATCTTCAACAGCAGCCAATGCAGCTCGTGTCATGAATCCTAGTCTGAAGATTGATGCTCGAGAGGACAGAGTGGGACCTGAGACTGAGAACATTTTCACAGACCAGTTCTTCGAAGGTCTCGATGGAGTGACAAATGCACTCGACAACATTGATGCAAGTAAGTGGTTCAGCAACGACTGCCTGTTGGGAAGGTTCTTGTTTATTTAAAAGCATTTCCAAATTTAACATTTTTCCCCCCAAAATTTGTTATTACCGGTAGTTTGTTGAATGAGTTTTTGTTGTTCATAGTCCTGTTAGATCAAGATGAACGCCTCAAGAACACTATTTATACAAAGATGCCTTTAAACTTAACAGTTTAAGTAGCGAGGGTTTCATGTTTTTAGACTATCCCTATTTGAGACTTAAAACACTTTGGTAAGTAATAATTATCGAGCTAGAAAAACGGTACAGTTTGTGAAGGATAAAGGACTTAGTTTTCCTGGTTCAGTATGTGCATTTATGAGTTAATTGCACTGAGATCTGGGAGGGCAATTTTTTTTTTAGCTTAACTAATAGTGCCTTCTACAGCAATGTATTGCTGTGTGCTCTACGATGGAGTCTTCCTTTTAGCATGAAACTAACTAGGCAATAAGTATAAAAGGCAGACGCAGTGCGGGTTTTATTATCCTTGAAATCTGTCACACGAAATGCGGAAGGAGGGAAAAAAAGATGAGATTGTTTTATGCTTCTCTGTTAAGAATAATAGCAACGGTGTTGTTCTTGTGTATCCTTTTCTTATGATGACGAGTACAAGTTCCCGAAAAAATTGTTTTGGTCTCTGAGACGTTGTTTGTCCTCCTTGCAGGAATGTACATGGACAGGAGGTGTGTGTATTACTGCAAGCCTCTCTTGGAGTCTGGCACTCTGGGCACCAAAGGCAATGTTCAGGTGAGAGATCAATTTATATATATATAATGTGTTGTGTGTGACGAATGTTATTCATTAGTTTCTAACCACTTTTATGTTTTATTGTTATGTCATTCTTTTCATTGTTAAATCCAGCCTTTAAATGACATGTATGTGAAATTGTTATGTATTTAAGTGATATTGTGTATTTATGTATGTATTTGTGTATGTATTTATAGTTAGGTAGTTAATGTAAATATGTTTGTCATTGTAACCCAAATTGCCCCCTGGGGATCAATAAAAATGTTATTAATTTATTATTAAGTGACATATCCAAATGTTTTACTTTTTAAATAGCATTGGTCTCCCGTACTCCCAGTGTAGAAATTGTTTATGTAAGAGCATGGGAGTTTATAAGAATGCTTGGGGGGGGGGTTATAAAGACGTAAAAAAAAAAATAAATGTATACTTTCTATTTCATGGATTTTCCCCTCATAACTGGAGGTTGTGGAATATAACCCCAGTGATATTCGAAGGAATGCTGTTATAACTTTTTGTTCTCAAACTTTTCAGGTGGTTATACCTCATGTCACCGAGTCCTACTCCTCTTCACAAGACCCACCTGAGAAGAGCATACCTGTGTGCACTGTCAAAAATTTCCCAAATGCAATTGAACATACTCTGCAGGTATGTATCATTTCAGTTCTCCAGCGTCAATTAATTACGGGAATGACAAAGGTGTACTTGACTCTTTTAAAGTTTTGGATTTGGTTTTATGTCATGCGATTTGCTGTGATTATATTATTTGAAATTCTTTTCTTCGCATTTGAAATGGCTGAAGTAAGGAAGTGGTTGTTAATAAAAGTGAAATAATTGTCAGGTGTATATGGGAGGAATTTTCCATAGGTAGGCCTTCTTGTACTGTCTGTCATCTTGCTTTTCTCAGTCTTGCATGACCTCTTTGTGCGGGTGGTTAGTGGGTGCCACTGGTATATCCTACTTTTGTTATATGTCTTTATACTGTTCCTGTCTATCTGTCTTGCCTTTTTCCTCCTGTACTAAATGACTATAGTGGCGTTGGTAGCCTAGTGGTTAGGCTACCGGACTCGTAATGGTGAGTTTGCGGGTTCGGGGGTTCGAGCCCAAGCTCGGTCCGACGTTTTGTGCTTGGGAAAAGCACTTTACTTGAAATTCCTATCTGGCTTGGTCCTTTCAGAGATGGATGTTAAACTCGTAGGTCCCTCCTCCTGAACAACCTAATGGTGTTGATACAGGCATTAAACCCGTACCATTTTCCAAAAGACCATCCCAGTACTCTAACCAACAACCTCATTGTGTTATATCATGTTCTGGATGTTGTTGAAGACCAAGACTTCTTCTTCCCCACCTTCTGTTTTAACATTCTCCCAATTTTTTTTTTTTGTTTGTTAGACATTCTCTCCCTTCTGTACAGTAAGTGAACTTGTACATTACATTTTCTCCCACTCTGTTCTTGTGTTTGTGTCATATACTGGTGTTTCAAGCCTTTCATTTTATTTTTTCACAGTGGGCTCGTGAAGAATTTGAGAAAGAATTCCATGATGATGCTGAAACTGTCAGTCAGTACATCACCGATCCAAAATTCATGGAGAGAACACTTAGATTACAAGGATCTCAGCCGGTGAGTCCATCCACAACTTTTTCCTAAGTCTGTTGAATAGATGAAATTATTGTCCCGTTTAAAAGGCAGTCCTGTGGGGTTTTTTTACATTTTTTTCTAAGCTGTCATCTGGCCCTCTGTTCTTAGAATATGTATTTGTTTAACACGTTTCTTACTGGGCTCAGATATTCCCTGAACAGTTTGTCCCCAGTTTTATAATGCGAGGATGAGGTTGCTGTTCCGGTTAAGGTGAGCATATATTTTTGATAAAATGAGCAAAACGAAATTATAAAACCCCAACAATATTGCAGCATCTAGTCTGTAGATGAGCTGATTTCTAAGTGTTAAGAAGTGGAATGTAAAATAATATTGTTTGCATTGTGTATTTCAGCTGGATATTCTGGAATCTGTGAAGCGAGTCCTGGTGGACGAAAGGCCAAAATCCTTTGAAGATTGTGTCAATCTTGCACGGCACATGTTTGCCCGTAACTACACCAACAGAATCAAACAGCTGCTCTTCAATTTCCCTCCAGATCAGGTAGGCTATTTGTGTGTTATTGGACTTTCCCGTCATTTGGGTGGGTGGTTGGAGGGCGCTTGTGGTAGGTTCTACTTCTTTACTTTCCTTCTGTTGTTTCTCTCTGTCTGTCTTACTTTTTCCGAGCACTTTATGACCATTATTGTGCTAATGTACTTCTTTTTATTCTAACAAACATGTCGTGGGGTGGGGCACTGCCAGGCAGTTTATGTGCTGTTTTGCTTTTTCTTCTACTCTCACATTACATTGTGAGAAGAATTATTGAATTGAAAGTGTTTGAGAAAGATGCTATTTCATTGATGAACTTTTTTTTTTCTTGCAGAAAACCAGCACAGGCGCACCATTTTGGTCTGGCCCGAAGAGATGTCCATCTGCTCTAGTGTTTGACTCTTCCAAGGTGAGTTCTACTTGTCTTAGTTTGAAATGTCCTGTTCGCTTGAAGTGCAAGTTACAGTCACCAGTTTTGAAGTACGATGCCAGGAACTGAGCCTCTGTGTATACATGAATTTTTGTACATATGTTGTTTGAAAAAAAAAATTGTCACCTCAAATTTTGCAGTTGAACATGTGTAGCTGTGACTTTTTTCCTCATGGGATTTGTTTTACCTTTTTTTTTTCTTTGGTACCTTTTCAGCCCTCTTCTCACATTATTTTTGGTCTGATTATTTCTTAAGATTGACGTAGATTTTTAAAAGATAGCATTTAAAGGTTAGTTAAAACATTTTTGACCCCATTATTGTAATCTAGATAACTGACAAAGTAGCTTGAAATCTGGCACTGAGCTATTTTCTGGGTAGATTCTTGTGTACAGTGTGTGCATATATGCAAAACCATGAGTGGTTCAACCTGTCTGATCGGCTAAAAAAGTATCCAAGTCCCTTTATATCAGTAGCCGAGTCGTATATGAAATGCCAGCAGCATGCAGTGCACTTAGCACACTTCAGGTGTCGCCAGGTTTAAATTAAAAATTAGGTTCAGGCAACAGGATTGAAGATGCTGCGATTGAAAGAATTTTTGGTTTTCTAGAAGTTTTAACACAGTTGGGTGTGGTGTAAAAGAAAAATGACTGTCCTGTACAGCTGGTTGCATTTCTTTTTTCCTGTTTCTTAGTCGTGGACTACTGCCTGTTCAAAGGCTAAAGTAAAGTTGCTTGTAGCGTGGGGAATTTTTAATTAACAATTTTCTTTTTTGTAAGATTATAGGTGTGCTTTGGAGTTTAAATGCTATTATGGAGCGATGTTGGTTTTGATTTTAAGATTATATTGTTCTTCCATAACAAATTTAGATCTGTTGTTCTTACTGTTAACATCCATTGTTTGTAAATTGCCAATTCTTTTGGGTGAGACTGAACTTTTCCTATTATATTTGTCTTCTAAGGAGCAACATCTTGATTACATTGTTTCTGCGGCCAACCTGAAGGCTGAGATGTTTGGTCTGGCACAGCTGAGGGACAGGGCAAAGATTAAGGCCATGGTAGATAAAGTTGTGGTGCCTGAATTCAAGCCCAGGTCAGGGGTAAAGATCGAGGTCAACGATTCCGAGCTCGCTTCTGCTTCCAGTGACACGTCTGGTAAGTATGTGTTATGTCATATGTGCTCGAGTGTAGGAGCCGTGGACATGTTGATGAGAATATGTGTTTCGTATTTTTGGCTTTTGTCTCCAATCCTTGCTCATTGCACTTGTTGGCCACGCCCCCTCCAGGGCAGTGCTACTGACTGAAGTGTCTTTAGGCCTTTCCCAATTCCCAAAGGGGGGGATATTAACATTAACATGTTCTTATGCACAGTAGGTGCTTCGTCATTGCATGCTAAAGAACCATGTTGATTTCAAAGTGGGGAGAAAATTTTTATTGAATATCTTTGTCTTTCTGCTGGGACGCAGTGTCCTTCTCAGCCCGAGTCGAATCTGACAGACAGGATTGTAATGATGACAGTGACAGTGATAATCTCTTTCATATCTGATGGAGACATTTGTCTTGGTTGTTTACAGTGGGTGGTTGGCGGGTGCTCTGGTGTGGTTTGCTCCTTCTTTCCTATCAAACATCTATTGTCATTATCTCCCTTTCTTCTTTTTTGTTCATGTTACTCTCTTGTAACACCTCCAATCTTAGGCTCTTATATGACCTTATTGTGTTGCAAGTGCCGTAAAACTCTTACTAAAACTAAAAACCCACTTATTGTTGCAGCGGCGGATGACTTGTCCAACCTCCAGGCAGCACTGCCACCCCCAGCTTCCCTGTCCGAGGTCAAGATCTCCCCATTGGACTTTGAGAAAGACGATGACTCCAACTTCCACATGGACTTCATCGTAGCAGCGTCAAATCTCAGGGCCAACAACTACGGCATCACAGAAGCGGATAGACACAAGGTGAACATTGCTGCTGTTTGCTAGATTAATGCTAGTTTCACTTAACAGAACAGAGTGGTGTGGGAGAAAAAGAGAGAGGGGGAGGGAGGGAGAAAAGAATGACTTTTTTTCTTTCAGGGAAAGTATTTTAATGCCTATGTAAATATTCAGACTTTCGCTGTAGAAAAATACTGTGCAAAATTATTTTATTGCTTTCTTTTTTTTAGTGATGTTGAGCTAGATTTTCAAAGCCTTTGGCTTATTTCTCTGATGCATAGGCACTGATTGGCAGGCTGGACAATGTTAAAATGTATTTTAGTGCAGTCGCCAGTGGTCAATATAGACAAATTATGAAACTGTTCTGAGAGATGAAATTGATAAGCCGTAGGTTTAGATGAAGAGAAATTTCACAGATAATGCTTTAGTGCCACTTTCGTCTGGTATTCCCTTACCTACAATTTTATTCTAGCTTGACAACTCCAAAATTTACTTGGGATGGGAAAACCAGTTCTTTTGAATTTACTTTTGAGGAAAAGGGTTAAACATACCAGCGTGGGTGGTTGGTGGGTGCTCTGGTGTGGTTTGCTCCTCCTTTCCTATCAAACTTCTGTTTTCCTTATCTCTCATTCTACTTCTTTGTATTTGTTACTCTCTTGTAACGGCTCTAATCTTTGGCACTTTTATGCCCTCATTGTGTTGCTAGTGCTGTGAAATTCTTACTAAAACACGAAGCAAACATCCCTGTTGAATACGTTGGACAGCATTAATGATACTGGCTGTCAGTCTTATACTGTGAATATTCTTTCATCTTTCATGTGTTATTTCTTGTTTTTGCAGAGCAAACTGATTGCTGGTCGGATCATTCCTGCTATTGCCACAACCACAAGTATGGTCGTGGGTCTAGTCTGCTTGGAGCTGCTCAAGGTTGGTTGTCTTCTTCTTTTGGTTGAGGATGTAAAGTTGTTTTTTTCTTTTCTCCGACAGTGAATTTGAAATGTGAGGCATGCTGAGAAAATGATTTACTACTCTGATTTTATCCCCTATGGGAATAGATCTGTCATGTTTATTGGGGGTGTTTGTACAATTTTAAAGTAAGAAATGATAGAACACATGTTAAACTTGAAGAAAATGTATTGAAAATCTACGAATTTGATGCCAGGGTTGATTTCCTTCCAATACCTCCATTTGTGCATTGCAAGAAGCCTCGCATTTTGTCAGCCTTGCCTCATAAATTCTGAATGATGTGGGAAAGGCAATGTGTCAATTGATTTGTCTTTGGTTTCTTTTGGAGTTCTTTAGAGGGTAATGGTATAAGCCTTGTTGGGTTTTTTTCTGTCTAATGTGTCTACAGTTCTCCCACCTTTTATAATCCATTTTTTGTATTGAAACTGTGAAGTTTTAGATTTGTGATAGCAACCAGAACAAAATGAATTATGGCTGCCAAGTTACTGTATTTTCCCCGCTTTGAATTTTCTGCTCTTGTTTCAAGTATATGGATGCTCTGAGTGAATAACTGTGTGTGTCCATCATAAGCACTGTGATTTAGTTGCTCTCAGTAATCATGATTTAGTGGGTGGTTGGCGGGTGCTCTGGTGTGGTTTGCTTCTTCTTTCCTATCAAACATCTATCGTCCTTGTCTCCCCTTCTTCTTTTTTATGTTTGTTACTCTCTTGTAACACCTCTGATCTTCTGGTGCTCATATGACCTTATGCAGTTGCGAGTGCCGTAAGACCTCAACTAAAACTAAAAAATCATGATATAAACATTTTTGTCTTGTTTGGTATTTAGTTAATGTAGTGTTTGTTCACCAACTAATGTCCTTCTGTTTCTCTCCTCAGCTGGCTCAGGGGCACAAGGACATTGAATCTTTCAAGAACGGTTTTGCCAATCTTGCTCTGCCATTTTTTGCCTTCTCTGAACCAATTGCTCCCGCGAAAAACAAAGTAAGCATGAACAGAGCAGTTTTGTTCTTAGAGAAAAATGTAGATTGCATGACTCCTCATGTAGATTTGTCACTTTATGTCTCGTAAAAGGTCACTGGTAATCCTAGCTGGAGTTTAGTGACTGTTCATGTTTTTTTGTGTTTTTCTTTACTTCTTGAGCGAGTAAAAGTGGGTAAAGCTGTAGAAGAGTTGGGAGTTTGGGGAAAATTGGACAGGCTGCTGAAGATAATCTCATAATAAATAGTAAAAGAGGACTGGATGGTTTTCTTGCTCGTTTTATCGTCTCCTGAACCGCTCGTCTAGTGACTTAAAGGTTTATCATTTCTCCTTTAAAAAAAAAATTGCTTCTGCGTCCACAATGTGCTTGTGGGTGGTGTGCGGGTGCTCTGGTGTGGTTTGCTTCTTCTGTTCTATCAAACAGATGTCGTCTTTATCTCTCCTACTCATTTTTTTGTTTTTGTTACTCTCTTGTAACACCTCTAATCTTCGGCACATGTTGCAAGTGCCGTAAAACACTTACTAAAACACAATGTGCTCCCTAAAGTGCTGATATGCCTTTCTTTCTCCCTGCATAAAAATGTCATTTCTCCCTGCCTAACAAATCTTGGTTGATGTTTCCCCAGTACTATGAGAATGAGTTCTCTCTGTGGGATCGCTTTGAGGTGCAGGGAGATATGACCCTGCAGGAGTTCATCGATTACTTCCAGGTGAGTCATTATTTGGGTGGATGGGAATGTGAATGTGAACTCAAATTTGTCTCAATCATGGTCCTTAAGGTTTTTGTGATTGTCGCAATTAAAAAAAGAAAAACTACTGTGATATAAAAATATTGAGTGGGTGGTTGGCAGGTACTCAGGTGTGGTTTTCTTCTTCTTTCTTTTTGAATATCTATTGTTGATATGTCTCCGCCTTCCTTTTTTGTGTTTGTTACTCTTTTGTAATGCCTCCAAGTCTAATCTTTTGACACTTATATGACCTAATTGTTTTGCAAGTGCAGTACAAAAAACAACCCCCCGTCCCTGACACTGATATAACCTGATTGACCAGATGGTGGTGGTACACCATGATAAAGTCTGTGAAAAACTACTCTGCTGTCCCAAGGCATAGCGATGTATCTGACAAAATGGAGTTTTTTGTTGTTGTTTTATTGGTCTTGCCCATATCTTTCTTATTCAAAGGCAGGGCACAATGTTTTTAAATCCAAAATACTGGTTTTCTAAGTGGTAAATCTATGTAAGTGACTGATCTCGATTCTATTGTCAATGGCAGAGTGACATAGCTTGCACCATGCGCAGCCATGCGTGGAAGCTTTCATAACTTGGACTGGCTATTTGGATTTTTCTCAAAAATCTTGAAATGTGCAGTTTTGTCGCTGTGCCTTTAGAGAGCAGTATTGTTCTGTGATATTTTTGCAACATGTGTATGAAATGAAATTTGACAATAATGATGATATTAACTGTTGTGTTTTTTTTCTTCCTGTCTCCAGAGAGAACACAAGCTTGAGATCACAATGCTGTCTCAGGGTGTGTGCATGCTTTACTCCTTCTTCATGCAGCCCGCCAAGCGCAAAGAGAGAATGGATTTGCAGTATGTTGGCATGCTTTTTTATCGCACATTTCTTTACTGTTCTACATAATGTGTGTGGGTGGTTAGTGGGTGCTCTAGTGTGGTTTGCTCCTTCTTTCCTATCAAACATCTATCGTTCTTATCTCTCCTCCTTTTTTGTGTAAGTTACTCTCTTGTAACACATCTATTCTTCTGCACTTATTTTACCATATTATGTTGCAAGTGCTGTGAAACTCCAACTGAAACTAAAACATAATGTGTTGTTGGATATAGTGTCACATTATGATGAAGAGAACAGTACTGTGATCAAAGCGCTGATATAAAAAGTTAATAAAAATGTCTTGAACCCATTCCTGCCTAGATTGACCAATGTTGCGCGAACGCCCTCGTGCGCCTAGATCGCTATTGTTGCTCTATAGCTTTGTGCGTTGTGGCATTGCATGGTCAGGATTCTCCCATAACTTATCATAGCAGAAATCTTGTTGAAATGACAATCCAGCTTGTCTTTCATTTTTTCATGATCTGTGGGTTTCTGCAGATAGTTTCAAAATTTGCTATCAGGTACTAGAAAGAAAGTAAGTTAAGATTGTTTGAATCTTGTGTTTGTTTCCCCCTCAGATTTCTTGTCAGTTCATGTATACTGGCCCATTCAATGTACAATGATTTTTTCAAATACATACACACTCGTAATCTGACAAAGAACACATAGCCTATATACAAAAAGACAATCACTGTAGCTACTGATCACACTTGCCGTTGGAAGTACGGTACCGGTAGTGCTAATGTGCGGAAAACCATCACTGATTTTTCTTTTCTCTCCCTCCCCCCCCCCCCCCCCTTCCAGGATGAGCGAGCTTGTGAAAAAGGTTTCCAAGAAGAAGATTCCGCCCCACGTCCAGGCCCTCGTGTTGGAAATCTGCTGCAACGGAGAGGATGGAGAAGACGTGGAGGTGCCCTACGTCAAGTACAACCTTCCTAAGTAGGAGCAAGTTGATGGAGGACGACACCGCTGTGAATAACTTTCCGTTATGTCAGGCCAAGTGCAGATGTAGAGTGAAAGAGTTTTGTTTTTTTTCTACCGTTTTCTTGAGATACTTTAATTGAAGGTTTGAAAGAATCAGTTTTGTTGCTAATAATTATTGATTAAACTATGGGCATTTGGAGTACTGCTTGAAAAAATATTCCTTCGGTCGCGGTTCATGTTTTAAGGGACTGTGTGACCGAGACAGGGTCGAATTGTTGTCTGAACAGATTTGGGTGGTGTGTTGATTGATGTCTTTTTTTGTGCTATGTGCAGTAATGGATCAAATTGCATGTTTTGTCTCTTTTCCTGAAATATATATGCACTCAATGATAGCGTTTGGCGGCTGTTAAATTCGTTTCCTGAAGGTCCTGAAAGCTAAAAAACCTCTTTATTTGTCGATGGGAAAGAGATGTTGAGGTGTTCTTTATGTGAAGAAATCAAATGAAGCCACTAGTATGAAATGACAAAAATGTAAGTTGTAAACATAAATGTTTGAGAAGTATTAAACATGAAAGGGTCTTGTACTTTCTGTTGCTCCTTAAATATGTGCAATGAAATATCCCGAGAAAAATATGTAAAAGAGTTGAGGGACGGAGGGGTGGGGGGCAGGCATGGCATGTCAGAGCTATTGAGTTTAAGAAAGGAATTTTTGTTGTTTCAGTCTTCTGTTGGAAGTAACTGTTCATTCTGTTGTCTTTGTTAAAAAACACTTTCTGCTGTGTGTTATGGTGAAATAAAACATTGTCAAAACAACCTTTGCTGCGAAAACAACCAACTTGTGTCCTGTGTGCTTGCACAACTGTAAACAGTTGCGAGAGGTGTAAAACTCATCAAACTGAAACTGATCCATTGGCAGTAAATGTAATGAGACTGTTCTTTGCGACAATACACAATAAAACCTCATGTTTGCATGCAATGACCCACTGAGAAGCAACATTTTGTAGGAAGAGAGTAGGAGTTACTACTTACCGAAGGCGAAAACGTGTAACAACAATGAGCTGTTTGTATTCTACATTTTTGGATGCTAGAATGGTATTCCGCTAGCTCTGACTGGGTTGTCAACACACAACGGTTTGCTGCACTATTCTTTCTTTTGAGCTCATTGGAGAGTGTCTGAAATCAATATATTCTCCACTCAGGTTTTGTGTGTGTTTGTCTTCAAGGTAGTTTGTAGTGTAATGTTTTGCACTGATAGTTGTTCAATTTCCAGAGCTGACCTGCACAAGGTGCTTCACAGAATTGTATGTGGCTAGGTGTTTTTGTTTTTTTTGTTTTTGTTGTTTTTGTTGGTGAAACGTGTAAGTCATATATACGCAAAGTCAAAGTTGTGGTTCCACTTCTTAATGTGTTTCTGTTGTACTCGATTTATTTATTTTTTTGCTGTGTGGCCCGTGCAAACAGTGTGATTACGCTGATGAGCGCGATTTATTTTTGTTAGCTGGAATGAAGAACCTGAATTCTTTAGCTGTGTATGTTGGGGGGGGGTTGTTTTTCAACTTTCAACTTTCTACTTTCTGTTCAGACTCGGATCAATACTCTTTTGGATATGAAGGAACTGTCTGTTTTCGGTGCTTCAAATGTTTTGTTCTCACTGTTTATTCTTCGGATGTGCTCCATGGAGCCTTGTCCTGTTCCTCTGGGGGTAATTGTGTTCACTCAGTCGTCAAACTGCTGTACCGTCAGATAGTAGTAGACTGCCTACCTCTTAATAATTTGTGGACAATGATTATGAGAATAGTTAGCACTCATCAGTCAGGGAGCTATAGATCTAGGTTTTTTGTCGGCGAGCTTGCATGCAGGTATGGGTGTTGTTTGTGAACAAATATAATGTGCATTATCAACATATTTTTTGCTTTTTTGTATGGCATGGTTGTTGGGTCGTAGATCTAGGTGTGGGGAATAGGTACTTGTACTGTATCCCTCCATCATATTGTGGTATGAGACAAAAAGGGGTTCTTCCTGAATTTTTACTAGGGACTTTTGAGATTGTATTGGACGTCAAAGTTTGTGAATTTTTCAAAAGCGGATAGGACCTTTTTCATGTGAAGTGTTCTCGGAGCAGAATTAGTCATTTTGGAACGAAATGCAAATCCTCATGATGAAGATAGAACCGGCATCAAACTGTAACTACTAGAAACTTCTTCAAAACGCAGATGAAGCCCTTTCAGTCTCATATGATAATGTGTGTCGCTGTGCTGCATAATTGAAAAAGTCATTCAGGGGTTATGTTGTAGTCTCTTTCTTTCTCTTGTGGATATATTATTATTTTATAATATGATCTGTACTGGGTCATGTTAGGGACTGTTTAAGATCTTGTCCGTTCAGCTGAGGTTTCCACTCATTCATTGATATACAATTCCTGTTAAACCTTTTGCTTTCCCAATGTGAGCATACATGAAAAATAAATGCGTTGAAAATTTCATCTGGACCTTATGCTTGAGTTATTTTTAGATTATAATTTAACTTTGGGTAAGGGCTTGCATATCGGGACTATGTAAAGAGTAAAGGGTGATTCAGACTTGTTGACTAGACACATTCTGCCTATGGTAGGTACATGTCCTTATTTTTTTGATGATATTAACCTTTAAACAGTAAACAGGAAGACTGATGTCTGTGGTGTAGTGGTAAAGTGTTTCGCTGTTGCACACAAAAGACTTGAGTTCAATTCTCGTTTGGGGAGAATTTTTATTGAGTATCTTGGTCTTTCTGCTCTGAGATTATATTAATTTGTATATCTCAGCCTGAGTTGACCCTGACAGGTAGGGTCAAGCCCGCTCCTTGAATGATCTAATTTGTATTGAAAAGGGTATAAAACACATATATTTAAAAAAATCACCCTGAAAAACAAGCAAACAAGAAAGGCACTTCTTTGGAGGAGTAACTAACTTGGTTAAAAGGTTGTGAGTTCAAACCCTGATTGTTAAATAAGAAATTTTGTATTTACTGTACAATGTACTATTTTTGTCTCTACTGAGATGTGTATGGTCGGAGGCCTAGTACATGTAGTTAAGCTAGCGGACCCGTAATCGTGATATTACGAGTTTGGGGTTCAAACCTCGGCTCAATCCAGCGTTGTGTCCTTGGGAAAGGCATTTAACACGAATTTCCCATTTGGCTCGGTCCTTTCTGAGATGGACGTTAAACTCGGAGGTCCCACCTCTTCTCTTTTTTAGCCTAATAGTGTTGATAGGGGCCTATACCATTTCACCATTTTTCCTCACTGAGATGAGAAGGGTACCAGCATAGCTGGAGGCCGAACACCAGCAACAGAAGATCGGAGGGGGGGGGGGGGGGTGCTCTAGTGTCTCCTTCTTTCTCTTATCAACACACACCTATAGTCCTTGTCTCTCCTCCTTTTTTGTGTTTGTTGTTATTCGTTTGTGACACCTCTTATCTTTGGCACTTATATGACCTTATTGTTTTGCAAGTGCCGTAAAACTTACTGTGGGTGGTTGATGGGTGCTCTGGTGTGATTTGCTTCTTTTTTCATATGAAATGTCTATCGTCCTTATATCTCCTTCTTCTTTTTTATGTTTGTTACTCTCTTGTAACACCTCTAATCTTCTGGCGCTCAAATGACTTTATGCAGTTGCGAGCGAATTGGGCGTGTACAAACACTTACAAACTATATTTTAAAAATCCCCCTGCAAAACAAAAACAATATCAGGATGATAATAACACTAAAAAAACAACCTGAAACCCACCAACCACCCACCTGTGAACACCATGAACACGAAGCAAAGACATGCACCTATAGAGAATTGTGTAATGCCCCCCCCCCCCAAAGTCAGCATGACTGTCGGCTTGACATCATTCTGATGTTGGACCGAGGTTCGAAATACGACCCATGACGAAGTCCCGTGGTGGCCTGTTTTGCAGCCGATGTGCAATCACTAATAAACACGAATTCAGAGCGGCGAAACATCGGACAGAGTGTAGAACCGATTTGTACGATGTCCTGCCGATATGTCCGATGTCCTGCCGATATGTCCGATGTCCTGCCGATGTGTCCGATGTTGAGCCGATGTGTCAGATGTCGGCCGACGATGACTGCCGCCATGAAAACGCCTTGTGAACGATATCGGATTTTTATCACTATTCCCCGCCCTCGCATTATTAGTACCCTGTTCACCCCTTTCGGGCTACCCCATATGCAGTCACAAGCACTAATTATGTAAGCTGAAAATGAGGCCGGTCGAGTCCACCCAATAGAGGTGAGGGGGGCTCAGCTCATGCACAAACACTCAAAACTGTTTCATTGCCACATTTTATACCCTGTTCACCCCTTTCGGGCTGTTCCATAAGCAGTCACTAGCACTGATTATGTAAGCTGACAGTGACACCGGTTGAGTCCACCTCATAGAGGTGAGGGGGGACATGCACAACACTCAAACCGGTTTCATTGCAACATTAACTACCTAGCTGTTCACCCCTTTCGAGCCACTGTCACACGCAGTCACCAGCACTGATAAAATAAGCCGACTATTAGGCTACCGGACTCGTAATCGTGAGGTTGCGGGGTCGGGGGTTCGAGCCGCGGGCCCGACGTTGCGTCCTTGGGAAAGGCACTTTACACGAATTTTCCTCACTTCACCCAGGTGGAAATGGGTACCCGGCCATAGACAGCGAAAGATCTTGTCAGTATGTTAGTGTTTTAGCGCCTATAAATGGCTGCTTGTACTGTATGCTTCTTAGGAAGTTGAGTTTGTTCAGAATGCTCTCAGGTCTGCTGGGGTAATAGTATAGATTGTGAAGCGCATAGAGCGAGGATTTGCGCTATACAAATACTATTTATTATTTTTATTATTATACTGGTCGAGTCTACCTCACAAAGTTGAGGGGGACACGCACAACACCCAAAACTGTTTAATTGTCACAAAATACCCTGTTCACCCCTTTCGGGCCACTGCTTTAAGCTGACTATCACACTGGTCGAGTCCACCTCACAAAGTTGAGGGGAACTAACTTTTAATAATCTCGTGAAAGCTGTGATTGCTTTTTTTTCTTTTTTTTCCCTCAACATTTTTTTAACCGTCCTATAATCAGATCGTGACCTCGATCATAACGTTGGCTCCTGGCCGCGAAAGGCTAGACAAAAACAGCCAAATTTGAAATCAAATTGATAGTTGTCATGTGTTAGTTGCAATGTTGTCATCTCTGCTTCTTTGCTTTTTGATTGTATAATATATTCACATCTATAGTTAAATTTAGTGTTCGTGGGAATAAATATTTTATGAGAAATCGGTAGAACATACAATATGAATTCGGGACAATATTTGTTTTCATTTCCAACTCAGTGATGTGCCTCGAGTTAGCAGTTTTGTGTATTGTGTTCCTAATGTGGGAATTACTACAATATAAGCCTATTATATTTATTACATAAGAGGTCAATCGATACACAATATACAAACAAAACAAACAGGCTCTTCATCGGCGTTGTGAATTTGATTCCGGTGTGAGGATGTTATTTTATTGTAGGTCTTCAACTATTATTCGGGTGCCATGCTGTATCTCATAAGCTGGGATAGCCTTGACTAGCACGGTTGAAGTTGCCTGCATATCCTAAATGGTCCAAATCGTGTCAAATCTTTTTCTATTTTTAAAAATAAGAGTTTTACAGCACTTGCAACACAAATAGGTCATGCAAGTACCAAAGATTAGAGGTGTTGTTACCAAAGAGGAGCATAAAAAGTAAAGAAGGAGAAGGGATACAGGCAAGAGATCTTTGATAGAAAAAAAAGAGCAAACCACACGAGAGCACTCCCTAACCACCCGCACTGTGTCAGAGATGTTGCTAAATTTATACAATAAATTACACACAACAAAACAATGACATATTACTTCAAAGAATATTCATGAAGACCGTGTCATGTTTAAAGTAGAAACTTTATTAATTACAAATTAGGGACGTTAAACTAAAATCAAAATTTGTTATATATTTATATTACAGTAAATGCAAAGTAAAGATTTGAAGAAGCATGAACTATTACAGCAGGGACTTTCACAGACTACCAATCCAAGCCATAAAACTTTCAAAACAAGATCAGTAATCTTTCACAGTGCAAATATGATTGGTGGGTTGCACATGAAAAAGTGAATGTGCCAAAACACCATCATTGAAGTGCACGAAGCAAAACCTAGTGATTCTCTAAATGTACAAGAATATTATAACAAAAGTTTTGAGTCACTGACAGAGAGTTTAGAAATATGAGAGAGAGAGAGAGAGACTGGTGGAGAAATATCATGTCCGATAGGAGGATTAAAAAGGTCCTTGGATAAGGGACAGAGAAAAGTGGTGAACATAACAATGAGATTTTTTCAATCAATCATGATAATTATAACAGTAAGAATATTACAGCAATAAGTTCTAAACCATAACTACGAGTTGGAAAAAAAACAAAACGTTCAGGAAATACAGGGCAAATGGGTGCCTTGGTAATTATTGTTTTGTTTTATGGTGACAACAACACTGCAGCTACAGCTTACACAGCCACACACACAGACGGACTGACTGACCGACAGATGCAAGGCAATTATATCATTTATGATTATTATTATTATAGTCCAATCTGATAGTAGTAACAAAGGATGAATCGGGATAAAATATATCATGACAATAAATATCTGAACCAGTCAGTAGTACTAGGATGACCTGGAGGTTGTATATATATATATATATATAAGAATAAGCTAATAAGGGGTGGGGTGGGGTTGGAGGGGGGGGGGGGGTCAGACAGAGGTGGTCAATCAATGTCACAGTTGTTACTTACTAAAGTCACCACAGCTAAGGGACAAGCCCGTGTCGACAGCTATCATGTGTGTAGCTTCATCTGATCCTAGACTAGAGGTGTGCCATAGAGAGAATGTCTTGCTCTACAGCGGAAGCTACGACTACAACGGCAAAGAAAGAAGTCACCAGCCCCATGCTTGTTTTCACATTCACAACAAAGGGGTTATTAATGAGTAATAATAACAATTATAACGATAATAATAATAATAATAAAAACAATTATAATAATTATAAAAGTAATAATAATAATATGATAAAAGTAATAATAATAATATGATAAAAGTAATAATAATAATAATTATAAAAGTAATAATAATAATATGATAAAAGTAATAATAATAATTATAAAGTAATTTTTTAAAAAAGCTTCTACCCAAGCACAATATAGTGAAACATGGCCACGCTGAGGCTACATGGGGGAAACTGAACAGAGGCCAGAAACGGGTTAATAAAAGAACATTCATGATCATAGCGCAGTATAGACTACTAGTACTTTGTACTTGAACAATCATATCCAGTATAGACTACTTTGTACTTGAACAATCATATCACATTTTTTGCTCTGATTGTAACGCAGTGTGAAGTTGTAAAACGCATGGTGAAGCATCATAGCCCTACAACAGCACCTCTGC